GAGAAACGGCGGCGGTTTCTTTTGCCCCATTTCTGCCTGCCTGCGTGTTGGTATTGGTGCAACGCTCCTGCTGACTGGTTGTTGGCTGTCGGCATGGTTGCCTTCTCTTGAGAGAGGCTTTCTGGCTGCTGTGGACGGGCGAACTACCCACATGTGGCCATGTCTGTCTCAATTTAAACCTGTCTGGGTTGCTAAGATCTATCGTCCGTCAATTCCTGTTTGTCTGCTTTTCTCTCTCTGTCTGTCTGTCTGTCTGTCTGTTTGTCTGTCTGTGTGCTGTCTGTTTTTCTTCCCTGGTGGGGTGCGGGTGACTTGTGTGTGGGGTTATTCTCTCTTGGGCAACCAACCATTTTGCTACATGTACGTGTGGGATGCCTTCATCGACTCTACTGCGCTGCCGATCACTCACTCGCTCAGTCGGCCGGCCAGCCGGTGGGACGGAGACCACAAACCGAGGAGTTAACGAGTGAGGTCCGTCCGTCCATTTTTAAGGCACACGATTCTGTGCATCATCAACAGCCGTCGAGGGCGGGGATCATCCGCCTGCATAGAAGTGCCATTCGTATATGCAGTGCAGTAATTCATATGTGCAGTCCTTCTGGCTCTCGTGCCGTCGCGTCGCGTCAAGCGGATGCTGACGTGGTTATGATGTTTTTGGTTGGCGCCGACGTGAGGACGAGCAACCTGCACGTGGGTGGGTCGTGTGGATCTCATGGGCTATTTATCCATCTCACTTACGTACGGTGAGCTGATTGATATGCGGTGTGGGTGGCAGAGAGCAGAGAGCAACAGCGCAGAGATTCAGTGCTGGTGAGTGGGGTGTGTGAGTGGGTGGTGTACGTGCCTCTCACTTACGTGCAGTGAGCTGATTGATATGTGATGGGGCGTCAGACACAGATGAGACACAACACGTTCTCACGAGAAACAGACTCCTTCTGATTCAAACAGACTCGAGAATGGCCAGGAAGTGATTGAATGATCATGAGTGAATGAATGGGTGGGGGGACGAAACGATAGGAATAATCTTGCACTCACTGCCTGCAGCCTGCAATGATGCTACTTTCCTGAGCCTTGCCACAGCCTCTCCATGAATCATGAGCTCCAACAGTCCAAGGCACTCACATCACAGAAACAACGAATGAATGAACGGATATCGATGACATGAATGAACAGTATCAATCGCACTGATCACTGATACTCATTGATTCACCACTTGCAGCCATCCATCCATTCAATCACCAGCCACCCACCCATCGACATCACTCATTCACTCATGCATGCGATCACTCACTCACACAAAACAAGCAACAAGCAATGCATATGATGTGTACACACCTGTCTACACGGAAATGTACATGTATGGGTTTTGTATATGAAGATCTGACCATACCATACCATAATAAGCGCGCCGCCAATGCGAGCTGAGAAAGGCAGCAGCACTGGCATCGCAGTCATGAGCCGTGTTTGCCTTGTTTGGATGCTCATACTGCTGCTCCTGCTCTCCAGATCTGTCCTGGTGGCACAGGCAGATCCCGCACTGAACCTGCAGCTGGCCTATCGGGCTCTTCTGGAGCAGAAGCAAGGCCACGGGCACTTCAAGTCGACGTCTGGAGAAGCCCGAGCAGTCGAGCTGCAATCCGGCAACGGTTTGGTTGCGGGGCTGGTTGCCGGATCTTCGGTGCTGTTGACTGTCTTTCTCTTCTTCTGGCACCACAGTGAGTGAGGACACCGAAGCACACACACACTGATCCGATCGAGACAAGCAGGGACATCATCATCCGCTGTGTTGTGCATGCGCCGTCTGTCCGTGT